AATAAATATATCAAGATCGCGTACCACGTGAACGTGCATCACCGTTAAAAACACCGTTAAGTTATTATTATTTAATTTTATTTATAGAGCATTGGCTATAGAGCCATAAATTTGAAAAGGTACTAAATATAAATTATTAAAAAACTCAAAACCTAATCTTTTTCCACTAAAAATTAATTTGTGTTAAATTTTTTGTTTCCATGTATGTTACAACCTAAAATTTTCTGCATGTGCCAATTAGAGCGTTGAAATCTTTCGTATTTGTTTCAAACTCGTGACAGTACAGACATTGATGACGACGTTCTCAGAAACACAATATATTCGTTGAGTACTTATATAATGATTATATTTACTGAGTTCTAGATCTAACATGATTTAATTAACGTTTATCTACATATATAATTGTAGCGGTTTTTAAGAAAGTCCTGAGAAGAATGCAAATTCCTTACTTTTAATTATAGCTTGAGTTTGTCTTGGCGCTTTTCTTTATTTTTAATATTTATAATAAAGCTTTATAATAAATTATTAATTAGATATTCAGACTTAGACTTATTAAATGTATAGTTACAAGATAGTTACACATAAAATATATTAGGTATTTATTCTAAGAATGTGTTAAATTGTACTTATGCCTATAACGCTAAAACAACTTACCAGAGCCAATTGAGAGTCCCAGATGAAAAGTTCGCTCTGAACTGAATTTTCTCTGGTAAGGGTAGCTCTTTTATACCAGACAACCCTTTAGCTTTGAAGGGCAACCATTAACACAGTAAAATGGGATTCTGCAGAATGCACCCATGAAGTTCGTCTTGAAATTTGAAAATATTAAGAAAACTTTATAAAATTACCATTACGTACCTGCGTAACCTAGGACGAATTTATAAATTAAAATATTATATTGTATTATATCGTAAAAGCGCGTTTTGTGTATATAAACGAACTTTTCCAGACCACATATCTGCTAATTTAACCTCTATTTGACCATAAGAGCGTATGCACGCGGCGTATTTTATACGCGCAGATGACGCGCGTTTCACAAACACGCTTTGAACGCGCGTTTACGGCGCCGAAGATGTTCGTAATGCAGATTGTTGAGTTTGTATCCGTTCAAACGAGCCTAAAACGCGTTGCAAGACTGAGGAAAGGGGCAGAGTAGAACAGAATTTCTTGGAATGACGAATATGACATTCTATAACAGTTTGAATATTTTTCAAATCTTCTGTGTTTTACTAATTTTTTAAACGTTGTATTAAAATGACCACACAATTGTCTTTCGCTCGTAAAAGCTAGCGTAAGTAGTGTTGTCTCGACTGACGCCATTGTGCTACTATTGAGAGTACGCGCTATATATGCCCGTTTCACAAACGCGGGTGAAACGCGCATTTACGGCGCGTATGTATTTGTGAACGTGTGCATAGTATAGCGTTTACTGGCTACGACTGAATGTCATTTGAATCGCGTTAACGCGCGTCATCAGTGCGTCCACTGCGCGTATAAAATACGCCGTGTGCATAGGCCGTAAGGATACGTTCTATACAATTTGGAGAAATTGTGCCGCGTTTAAAGGGACTTGATAGTATTTTAAGGGCATAGAAGAAGAGACATGTAAATAATATGTCATAAACAGTAATTGTACTTACGTACCTACCTACATCAAACTTGAGGAAAACAGTCGCGTAGTTTTCTATATTTTTAACATTTTTAATTCATTGTCTTACATTTCATCTTTAAAGAGGTATGAAAACAAAACAGTGAAATCACAGACCAACGTGGTGATGTGTAATCAGTATCTGTAGGTACGTTAGTGGTAGTGAAAGTCATGGTTACTTCTTGTTTCAACCAATCTATCCCTTACCATATTTTTTTATATTTCTGGGAGAAAATTCAATGCAAATGAGGAGGAAAACGCCAAGCAATGAACAGCCCGACCCGAGTGGACAATCGATGTGACAGCATCGCCCACAGTCGCGCCAGTCTTGTTGCTATAACGGTTTCAAGAAAAATAAACAAATTTAATTTATTACTCAGGAACGAAATTAAATTAATTTCATATCCAGTTTTGGTTTTCGAGATTATTATACATATTAAATGAAACTAGCTTTTTACATTTAAATCGTGTATATTTATTTTTTTCAAACAAACGAATGTTTCGGGCTCTTTACAGGTCCCATGATTATGGCTGACTGAGATCATTAACCAGTTTTGTCTAATTATATTGCAAACTAATCTATTTTTCACTAAGTTACAAAATTTTTTTATTAGATAGATAGATAAATGGTTTATTTATCACAAAACACACACATGCGATACACATAAACAAACAAAAATAAATAAAAAACTAATCCAAAAAAAAAAATGGTACAAAAAAGCAACACTACATTCGTAAATACAATATAAGCATTAAAACAAGATATCATTATGTTTAAATTTTAAAAAACAAAAGATCAAATAACTAAAAGTACAAACACAGAAATTTATAAGGCATTACAATAAAAGCTCGCAACGCATTGCATGTGTGCGCAGTGGTGATAAAAACGGCCGTAGCTCAGCGTAATTGCTGCTCAATTAGAGCAACGTATACTGATATTCTGCTAAGCCCGAGAATATCAGAAAACGGCGAAACCGCTGCGCGGCAGTGAGTGCGTGTCAGAGTATATCAAAAGAATTAAATGTTTATAGAATCATATTTAATTTTATATGGTTAGTACTGTTAGTTTGCGTCCACATAGTAATAATAACAGAATAATTAGATTGGTGTTAGTGTTAGATTAATAGGACTTACAAAAATAAGTTATTGATAGAAGGTAGCAATACCATGGACTCAAAGTGCTTCGGAATACCAAGTTTTTGTTTGCGTAAAATAGCCTCATTAATGTATTTCCTAAAGGTATATTTAGTATGCACAGATCTTATTGGCGGAGGAATATTATTCCAGCACTTTGTAGTCTGATGACGGAAGCTTCCCTCAAAAGCTACCGTGCGATGTATATAACCTGCCAGAATTGGCCTAGTACTTCGAGTATGTGCAGAGTTTGCAAATTCTAACTTATTATAAAGATACTTAGGGCTTTTAAATTTCATGATGTCAAACATTAGACAGGCAAGGTGAAGCTTCCTTCGAAAGTCCATCCTGAGCATTTATTTAGAACATCGTTTAGAATGGTTGATATGTGACTTTGTGGAGGGACATTGAAGCAAAATCTGCAGCAAGCATTTTGTACACGCTGCAATAATCGCTGAGTCTTTGCAAGTAAACGAGGCCCATTAACAATGTCGCCGTAATTAAATTAAGATAAAACGAGCGACTCACAAACAGCAATCCATGCTTTTTCACTGAGTAAATCACGGATTCCTTATAAAACCTTAAGGCGATAGAAACAACTACGAACAAGGCCCAACACGTGACTCTCGAAGCGCAAAGAATTGTCTATAGTTATTCCAAGACTCTTAGCTTTCTCCACGCGGTTAATAACCTGTCCTGAGATTACTACATCCGGATTTGAGCCAACAACCTTATTCCTTTGAGAATCAATACCGAACACCATTTATTTAGATTTACATGGATTGAGGACTAGAGCATTATCACAGGACCAAAATAGATAAATCTATTCATAGATAGATCTATTTATCAAATAGTGTTCAGGTCGTGATTGAAGCCATTCAAAGCCGGACGTACATTACTTGGATCCACATGAATGTAAAGCTGCACATCATCTGCATAGCAATGACATTTACTATAGGAGATTGCACGTATCAGGTCGGCAGTGTAAATAATGAACAGGAGCGGTCTGAGGTACTCCACGTGTTAAAGTCCTAGGTTGCGACAATATTGCCGTACCATTTGCCGTTAAAAGTTTGACCCTCTGTGTTCTTCCACTCAAATAGCTGGCAAACCAGTTTACTGAAATGGTGCTTAGACCATACTAAGATAGCTTCGAGAGAAGGAGTGAGATTTTTATCGAATCGAACGCGCGAGAGAAATCCAACAAAGCAAGCAAAGTCGCACGACCAGCGTCTGCTTCAGTAAGTACTGTAGTCTAGGCTTTACTCTATGAGTAGAATCACTGGCTGAGTGAATATAGTTTTGTATTTAGAATGTGTTTTTTTTAAATAAGAAAGAATAGAGAGTTCGTAATGTAACCTGAATTAAAAAATATGTGAAAGAATACAATAAACCAAGTTTTGAATTTGATTATTCCAGTTTAAATTTATAAAAGTACCTCTCGCTACGCATTCTAAGCTACGCCCCAGTTACAAATGGTGGAATTCGCCGGCTTACAAATGAGGGAAGTACGAATCCCGATGTGAAAATTTTTTATATTTTACTTTTGAAAAATCTGCCAATGGAAAGGATATAATATAACTCAAGCCTGCAAATGATGGACGCAAGCTTACGAATGATGAAAGGATTCCGATGAAGAAAAGTCCGTCGTGCAATATTTTTATGTTGTTACGACACAACTTCCAGGAAAGCGTACTTAAGGTCGTAATTTATATTTTTATATTTAATATTGATTTATAATTGATGCCAGTAAAAAGTGCAAGAGGAGAATATGTATTGTGTACCGGCACAAAGATTTAACGGATTCAACGACGTAGACGAGTTTTTGAATCAATTTGAGGCCATTCACGGCCGGTAATCTACCTATAGAGAACCGCTCGCAATAGCGGCCATCTTTTTTAATGAATAATGACATAGGTCATTTTTGTTTCCTTGCTGTGATTGGCTGCCGCAGGAGCAGTAGCCTTTCCGCCATCTTGGGTAGTGATCGTGGTATTTTACACCTTGTTATTGTTTTGTTAGTCACCTTGTAGTGGCTTGTAGTTTGTTTGTACAGGTTCAGATCGAGTGAAGACGTGACGTGCTTATCCTCTCCGTTAATTCTGTATTGTGTGTTTGTATTTTGCTTCATGCAAAATGTACGAGTGCTGTGTATGTAAAAGTTCACGACAGGGCGCTATTTTACATCATTTTCCTCGCACTGAGAAAAGACTCATGAAGTGGTTAAAGTGTCTATATGTCTATAAGTGATAATCTGAAAAAGTTATCACCAGAAGAACTTTCAAACGTTTTGTATGTCAAAAACACTTTGAAAAGAGGTTTATTACGCCGAAATCACGTCTCATAGGCAGTGCATATCCATCTTTGTTTACCGAAGACGAGATTTCCTCTGGAATACCATCACAGGACAATGCCGGTAAGTTTTAAGTATAGACTTTACTATAGCTTTCTAATCTCTACGTCCTAACAGACTTTTAATATGAACTTAGCCCGTAGTCGCCTTGTAGAAATAAAATATTAATAACTATGACCGTCATCTAAGAAACAAATTGACGACGTTGGTGTATCCAGCGTTAATAACTTATAACAATTTAAGTACTTGCTTACTTTTAAAACTAAAGAAATAGTATTGAGTTTTGAATATAGTTAGTGTTTATACCCGGTTGTGTGCTAGTTCGAAGGAATAACTTTTAATGTTATTAATATTAATTGTTTTATTTATTTTGCACTTACAGAAAATATGGATATTGATATGGAGCATAGTTACTCGCGTAAAAGACACTTTGACCACACGTACTTTCAAAGGGAACCACTAAAAGGTTAGTAATGCAGTTTGTATTACTGTAACATTTTCTAGTAAAACTGTTTAAATGGATTTATTGAAAAAAAAAATCCCAGGTTCTTCTTTTAAATGTTATGGCCCCATTGAAGTAATTAATGATTTTGCCAATGTCAAGTTGAGGAACGCACGCATTTTTACTCAAAAATTTACTGGCGAATTTCGATAGAGGTTGCTATTGTTTTTAATTATTTACTACTCATTGATACATTAATAAAGGGTTATTTTTCAGCTCACTATGCAGATGGCAGACCAGTCAGTAACACTTTACAAAACACTGCAGACACTGTTTTGTTCTTCGACAAATTGTTTGACAGCGGCAATGGAGCTGCAATACGGTCAAAAAGAAAAGGAAAAATATTAAGAACAGCCGTAACGGAAAAATCACCTCATCACGATTTTTGGAGGGAATCAATAAAAAAATTGGAAGAAACAAATGTGAAAGGACATGAAAAGTTCGTGCCGTCATTGAAAAACTTTGTCATAACTATAAAAAGTTATATGAAGCTGTGGCAGTTTTTCAAAGTAAAGGGATTACAATAATGAGGCCTAGATATTTTAACTCCGATCCAATAGATAATTTTTTCGGTCAAGTTAGGGCCCATAATTATAGAAATAATGACCCAAACTGTCACAGCTTTAACTGCACCTTTAAATCATTACTAATAACTAGGATTATTAAATTCCATAATGAAACTTTTAATTGTGAGGATGATCCGGCGGACCAAGTGTTAAATTTACAATCATTATTTGAAGAACAAAAAAGAAAATATTCAACATGATCATCTTATTCATTCATAGGACTGAAAGCGTTGAAACTATTGTAGACCAGGCCCGTCGAGAACGTCTCAATGTTCACTCTCGGGCCTATACTGCTGGATGGGTAGTAAGGAAAATTTTAAATAAATTAAAAATAAACTGTGACTTATGCCTAAAAAATTTAACAAGTAATCAAACGCGTATTCACGACTGGGTAAGTCACAGGGAGTATACAACGTTAAAAAACCGACTGAAATACCCATCCGAAGGAGCAGTAACGTGTTTCTCTGATAAAAATAAAGCGAATATTGCATATAATATTACAGCGAATATTTTGTCCAAGTATTCATTTGATTTCATAAACTGTGCCGAACATAAAACTATTCTACTTAATAGTTTTATTGCTTTCACTGTTCGATTTACAATTATGAATTGGTGCAGTACCACAAATAAAATTTTAAAAGGCACGGACATAGGTTAGCAAACCGCATTCTACCTCCAATGCAAAACAAAGCATTAGAACAATTTAAAAAGAAATTAAAAAATAAACGCCTTAACAAATATTGACTTGTTTTATTTATTTTATTTTATCGTATTATTTTATATAAATGAACTGGAATCCCTAAGCACCTAAATTTGTTTGGATGTATATGTTCTGCTCCTTTGCAAGACAATATCGTCTACCTATTAAAAAAAATGAAATGTCAATCGACATTAGTATCACAGATTAAAAATAATTCTTACTACTGAAAAAAAAAGTACTATAGTGAGCAGTCTGAATGTAGTTCACTAAGTAGTCTGTGAGGCCACTAGCATATTAAATAATTGGTCTGATGTGCATAAGAGATACGTGTTTGCATTGTATTTGGAGGGGCCAGCTCTACAATGGTATAAAACGCATTTTTCTTCATACATGACGTATGATGTGATTGCACAGAAGTTAAGAGAGGAATTTCCCTCACAAATAGATTACGCCCGAGAATTTTATTATAGACGACAGGAGCCTAACGAATCGCTGATAAGTTATTTTTATAGTTTAGATAAGTTAGCGACGAAAGCGAATATTCAAGATGTTCAGTTTATTAGACATTTCTTGAAGTACCTATTTGATACCCAATTTTCAATGGATGCTGGCTAGTAATTTGTATTTGTCGAAAGAGGAGTTGAGAAAAACAATTATACAAGTAGATGATATATTTAATCACGGTTATGATGTCAGTCGACAAAATATTGATTTGCCAGTATATTTTTTTAAGGAGCACTCTCACTGTTGGCAAACACAGGGTGACTCTGCACCGATAATTAGACCCGAGTCTAAACAGTCGGAATATCAAGTGCAACGTGCACCAGTCGTGCAGCAGGATACGCCAAGTCAAGGGTATTCACGGGCACATGGTAGTGGATCTTCGTCGGGATCTCCTCAACGTGGATATCTGCAAAGCGCAGCTGAACATTTAGAAAATTTGTCTACAATTGATAGTTTTAGTGTAGATACACCCTACAGTTTTGTATCTGTTTTTATTAATGATGTAAGTTGCGAGGCGTTGGTGGATACTAGTGCTTCGGTTTCAAGTTCGGTTTCAAGTTTCAAGTTGTCAAAATTAGAAATGGACAATAAAATTTCTTCTTCTAAGTCCATGACAGATATTGGGTCAAAGAAAGAAAAGTCTTCTTTGAAGCCGGTATCAAAAAGTGTAGATAACTTCTTGCTGAATAAATCGGAGTATGTAAACTCTTCGATTTTGCCAGAAATAATAAATAAAGCTGATGGAACGTGGATAGCTGCAGGATGAGGACTGAGGCAGCTGGGAGATCAATATTGATGTAACCTAGAGATCGTCCGATGGATGATCAAGCCTGTGTCGTCGTTGTGGCAGCATGCACGATGAAGATAGTTTAGGGAAGCAGTTAGGAAGTTTTAGTAGTAATGTCTAGAAATTTGTTAGGATCATTCAGCCAGGTTAGGGTCGCTGAAATAAAGAGTTAGGATTTAGATAGGTTCCCTAATTAGCTAGGATAACTGACGAGTAATTATATTTTGAATTGTTTGATTAGGATGTGGTTATGGTCTGTCCTTTTAGATAGGTTTTTGGCAGACTAAAACCATAGCCTCCTCTGTGGCTTACTTGTTGGTAAGGTAATAGCTTCCGAGCAGTGTGTGGCTAGCCTATAGTAAAGGCTGATCATTTATGTAAGTTGCCTATCATAGGTAGGGCACCAGATAGGGATGTTCACCCCTTCAGTTGTGAGGAAGAGGGATGTAGTCTAGGCTCTACTCTATGAGTAGAATCACTGGCTGAGTGAATATAGTTTTGTATTTAGAATGTGTTTTTTAAAAATAAAAGAAGAAAGAATAGAGCATCTTGAGAGTTCGTAATGTAACCTGAATTAGAAAATATGTGAAAGAATCATTGACTTACAATTATATGGACGTCGGTTCCGCGCTAAAAAGTGTCCGCACTTGTAAGGCGCTAAAATCGTATACAGAGCGCCAAACTCCGCTTTAGTCTTCATTTGTTCGACTGACAGCGCGATACTGCGATGACATTACAATTTAAATTTCGTTGACTTGGGACATTTTTTTCGTGGTTTTTGTATTAGACCCGTCGTCCATTTATTTGTAAGTCAATGGAAAGAATACAATAAACCAAGTTTTGAAGATTATTCCAGTTTAAATTTATAAAAGTATTTCTCGCTACGCATCCTAAGCTACGCCCCAGTTTACAGTACACTATCCGTAACATCTAGTAATGCCGTGACAGTGCCGCGCCCTCTCCGGAAACCAGATTGGCAGACAGGAAGGATGCTATTAGATTCGACGTAGTCACTCAGTGAATATGCACTACCTTTTCCAACACCTTAGAGAGAAATAGGAGGATACTAATAGGCATAAGGTCCTTCAGGTCGCATGGGTTATCCACCATGGGCAATGGATTAACCAACGCCGCTTTCCACTGTACTGAGAATTCCCCAGTAAGCAAAGACTTATTTATTATACCTGTAATAACTCCCAAAGTGTGTGGTAGAGAGAGGTGAGCAGCACCATATCCCTACTGATGCCGTCATCACCAATCGCATTTGATTTAATAAGCGGAGGACTTTAAAAAATCTCAGCCTGAGTTACCGGCTTCAGTTGCAATTCAGAAGAGCAGAAACGATTTGATTCAAAATAAGTCTGCTGAGTAGCTGGTACAAAGTCACTTCCTGGGACACTCAGAAAATGAATATTTATCTTAATCTATATATTTCTATCTATATATTTATCTGGATCATTAAAATTGTCCGGCAAACCATCGCCTTTGCTGGCATCTACTAAGATTTTTTCCTTTAAATGTTTCCAAAATACTTTACTGTTATTTAAATTTTTATTAATTAAATTATTAAAATATGCACGCTTTTCATTTTGCTAACTCATCACCACCAAGTTTCTCAGGTCCCTGTAATACTGGCTATGTGACCGACGATACTGATCGTGAGCCTGATTGCGCAACACCGTCATGAACCTAACAGTGTCAGTTGCCCAGGACAAGGATCTATTTTGTCTAAGTCGTATTGTCTTAGAAGGCGCAAATATGTCAAATAAACCCAGGATTAAACTGTTTAAATGGCTAACCATGGAATCTACGGTAGGTTGTATTAATAGAGTTTTCCAGTTGATTGAAGCAACTGCCAAGTTAAAATCTGTTAAATTTATATTCTTGATGGGTCTATACCTGAGAAACTTAGAGGGAGATTTTGTTTTTTTAATCTCCAAAGAAACAGTAATCATAGCATGCCCCAGATCACCCCTAATATTACTAACCGCAACGTCTCGCACACGGCAGTTAGTACATACGACATCGATCAACGAGCTAGAATCTACTGAAAAATGGGTTGGGTACGTAACTACCTGTTGCAAACCCGAACAGTGCAGAAATTGTGTAAATTTTATCGTATTAGCATCACTCGATTTGAGCATATTTATATTAAAATCGCCGAGTAAAACTACGTAATCGAAATTCGAGAACTGCATTAAGGATTCAGTGATGACGTCAAAAAAGGTATCAACATTTACCCACTGCGGACGATACGCAGTACCTATAACAGCTTTGTAACCATTTGTTCGCGTAGAAAACCACATTTGTGCAACGTTGTCATGTCGAAATCATTAAATAGCCCTGTACCCCACTTACGGTGGGGTCGGACTTGGCCTGCGGCGCGTGGTCGGGTTCAGATTATGGGGTGTGCTTATGCTCTACGGTGGCACAGCGGTTAGTACTATGGGTGCTTGATGAGGAGGTTCGATTCCCGATTTGGGCCAATTTAGGAAACGAACATTTGTAAGTTGGTTTTAGTTTGAGTATTCTGTGTATTGCCCTCCGTTATCCGGTATTCATAGTACAGGAAATTAGGCAGAAGTTTAGCAGTTTTTACCTAAATACTTCTCTTTGGCATTGCTTGAACAAAAAAGGAATCTAACAGAGAGACTGTCGGGATACAACAACGCTATTATAAGTATCTCTTTTTCACTACATCGGGAAGCATGTCTTATAT